GACGTATATATTTATGGTATTATTCCACTTCTGTGGACGTATACATTTATGGTATTATTCCACTTCTGTGGACGTATATATTTATGGTATTATTCCACTTCTGTGGACGTATATATTTATGGTATTATTCCACTTCTGTGGACGTATATATTTATGGTATTATTCCACTTCTGTGGACGTATATATTTATGGTATTATTCCACTTCTGTGGACGTATATATTTATGGTATTATTCCACTTCTGTGGACGTATATATTTATGGTATTATTCCACTTCTGTGGACGTATATATTTATGGTATTATTCCACTTCTGTGGACGTATATATTTATGGTATTATTCCACTTCTGTGGACGTATATATTTATGGTATTATTCCACTTCTGTGGACGTATATATTTATGGTATTATTCCACTTCTGTGGACGTATATATTTATGGTATTATTCCACTTCTGTGGACGTATATATTTATGGTATTATTCCACTTCTGTGGACGTATATATTTATGGTATTATTCCACTTCTGTGGACGTATATATTTATGGTATTATTCCACTTCTGTGGACGTATATATTTATGGTATTATTCCACTTCTGTGGACGTATATATTTATGGTATTATTCCACTTCTGTGGACGTATATATTTATGGTATTATTCCACTTCTGTGGACGTATATATTTATGGTATTATTCCACTTCTGTGGACGTATATATTTATGGTATTATTCCACTTCTGTGGACGTATATATTTATGGTATTATTCCACTTCTGTGGACGTATATATTTATGGTATTATTCCACTTCTGTGGACGTATATATTTATGGTATTATTCCACTTCTGTGGACGTATATATTTATGGTATTATTCCACTTCTGTGGACGTATATATTTATGGTATTATTCCACTTCTGTGGACGTATATATTTATGGTATTATTCCACTTCTGTGGACGTATATATTTATGGTATTATTCCACTTCTGTGGACGTATATATTTATGGTATTATTCCACTTCTGTGGACGTATATATTTATGGTATTATTCCACTTCTGTGGACGTATATATTTATGGTATTATTCCACTTCTGTGGACGTATATATTTATGGTATTATTCCACTTCTGTGGACGTATATATTTATGGTATTATTCCACTTCTGTGGACGTATATATTTATGGTATTATTCCACTTCTGTGGACGTATATATTTATGGTATTATTCCACTTCTGTGGACGTATATATTTATGGTATTATTCCACTTCTGTGGACGTATATATTTATGGTATTATTCCACTTCTGTGGACGTATATATTTATGGTATTATTCCACTTCTGTGGACGTATATATTTATGGTATTATTCCACTTCTGTGGACGTATATATTTATGGTATTATTCCACTTCTGTGGACGTATATATTTATGGTATTATTCCACTTCTGTGGACGTATATATTTATGGTATTATTCCACTTCTGTGGACGTATATATTTATGGTATTATTCCACTTCTGTGGACGTATATATTTATGGTATTATTCCACTTCTGTGGACGTATATATTTATGGTATTATTCCACTTCTGTGGACGTATATATTTATGGTATTATTCCACTTCTGTGGACGTATATATTTATGGTATTATTCCACTTCTGTGGACGTATATATTTATGGTATTATTCCACTTCTGTGGACGTATATATTTATGGTATTATTCCACTTCTGTGGACGTATACATTTATGGTATTATTCCACTTCTGTGGACGTATATATTTATGGTATTATTCCACTTCTGTGGACGTATACATTTATGGTATTATTCCACTTCTGTGGACGTATACATTTATGGTATTATTCCACTTCTGTGGACGTATATATTTATGGTATTATTCCACTTCTGTGGACGTATATATTTATGGTATTATTCCACTTCTGTGGACGTATATATTTATGGTATTATTCCACTTCTGTGGACGTATATATTTATGGTATTATTCCACTTCTGTGGACGTATATATTTATGGTATTATTCCACTTCTGTGGACGTATATATTTATGGTATTATTCCACTTCTGTGGACGTATACATTTATGGTATTATTCCACTTCTGTGGACGTATATATTTATGGTATTATTCCACTTCTGTGGACGTATACATTTATGGTATTATTCCACTTCTGTGGACGTATACATTTATGGTATTATTCCACTTCTGTGGACGTATATATTTATGGTATTATTCCACTTCTGTGGACGTATATATTTATGGTATTATTCCACTTCTGTGGACGTATATATTTATGGTATTATTCCACTTCTGTGGACGTATATATTTATGGTATTATTCCACTTCTGTGGACGTATATATTTATGGTATTATTCCACTTCTGTGGACGTATATATTTATGGTATTATTCCACTTCTGTGGACGTATATATTTATGGTATTATTCCACTTCTGTGGACGTATATATTTATGGTATTATTCCACTTCTGTGGACGTATATATTTATGGTATTATTCCACTTCTGTGGACGTATATATTTATGGTATTATTCCACTTCTGTGGACGTATATATTTATGGTATTATTCCACATACAGGACCACAAACAGGGCCACATACAGGGCCACAAACCCTAGCCTAACCCCAGTATGCTAGCCTAACCCCAGTATGCTAGCCTAACCCCAGTACGCTAGCCTAACCCCAGTATGCTAGCCTAACCCCAGTATGCTAGCCTAGCCTGAGTGTACCAAGAATGTCTGTGAGAACTGAAGCGAGACGAGACCAGCATTACCCCGACATTCTACGTCTGTTTGTCTTGCAAGCGGTGCTGATCGCTGTGATAGATGGGGCGCCGAGACACACACATGGGAAACATTTGGGGCGTTCTTTAAACATAACTTTACCAAAGATTTACTAAACTGGTTGCCACATAACTTTACCAAAATGGTTGCCACATAACTTTACCAAACTGGTTGCCACATAACTTTACCAAATTGGTTGCCAAAATGGTTGCCACATAACTTTACCAAACTGGTTGCCACATAACTTTACCAAATTGGTTGCCAAAATGGTTGCCACATAACTTTACCAAACTGGTTGCCAAAATGGTTGCCACATAACTTTACCAAACTGGTTACCAAAATGGTTGCCACATAACGTTACCAAACTGGTTGCCACATAACTTTACCAAACTGGTTGCCACAAAGATTTACCAAACTGGTTGCCACAAAGATTTACCAAACTGGTTGCCACATAACTTTACCAAAATGGTTGCCACATAACTTTACCAAAATGGTTGCCACATAGCTTTACCAAAATGGTTGCCACATAACTTTACCAAACTGGTTGCCACAAAGATTTACCAAACTGGTTGCCACATAACTTTACCAAAATGGTTGCCACATAACTTTACCAAACTGGTTGCCACATAGCTTTACCAAAATGGTTGCTACATAACTTTACCAAAATGGTTGCCACATAACTTTACCAAATTGGTTGCCAAAATGGTTGCCACATAACTTTACCAAACTGGTTGCCAAAATGGTTGCCACATAACTTTACCAAACTGGTTGCCACATAGCTTTACCAAAATGGTTGCCACATAACTTTACCAAACTGGTTGCCACATAACTTTACCAAACTGGTTGCCAAAATGGTTGCCACAAAGATTTACCAAACTGGTTGCCACATAGCTTTACCAAAATGGTTGCCACATAACTTTACCAAACTGGTTGCCACATAACTTTACCAAATTGGTTGCCAAAATGGTTGCCACATAACTTTACCAAACTGGTTGCCACATAACTTTACCAAATTGGTTGCCAAAATGGTTGCCACATAACTTTACCAAACTGGTTGCCAAAATGGTTGCCACATAACTTTACCAAAATGGTTGCCACATAACTTTACCAAAATGGTTGCCACAAAGATTTACCAAACTGGTTGCCACAAAGATTTACCAAAATGGTTGCCACATATTTGTCTCTCGCAGATTCGCCCAATAAAATTACCAAAGTTGATCCTGGTGTATTAAAGATCAGCAGTTACCGCCCTTGTCGGAAATGAAAGATAAATACACGGCGCCATGTTTGTCTAGTATACCGTTAGGTGAGCAGGATATGACCTGGGTCAAAAGTTCACACACACAAACACACACGCAAACATACACACACACACATATTTGGGATTAGGAGACATATTGGTATTTTTTAAAATTAAAAATAAACGGCGCTTTAGACCGTATTCTAGTACCTCTAGTACAGACTTGGGTATAATCAGAGGCGTCGCCACTGGCAGGGTGCGATTTGGCGCAACGGGCTAAACTGTAAGCACTATGCGTTTATGTTGTGTTTATGTTATGCAAGTTGCGTTAGCGTTACGGTTAGCGTTTGTGTTTTTTTGTGCTTGCATTGTGTCTGTGTTTGTTTTCTTTTGTGTTTGCGTGTTGCGTTTGTTTTTTCGTTTCTGTTTTTCTGCGTTTGAGTTTGCATTTGTGTTTGCATTGTGTTTGTGTTTGCATTCTTTTTGTGTTTGTGTTTTCTTTTGAGTTTGTGTTTGCGTTGTGTTGGAGTTTGTGTTTGTGTTTGCGTTTAGTTTTCTTCTGTTCCCAAGTTGGTACATTTAAAAAAGATTCACCGTGGCGGAGCACGGGTATGCAGCTAGTATATATATATATATATATATATATATATATATATATATATATATATATATATATATATATATATATATATATATACGCCTACATAGGCCTTTCATTTAAATTTATGCCATATACCCATACGTCTCTGTGTATAATTCTGACGTGTATACTGTCTAATACCACCAAACACCAACCACCAAACACCATCCAATAACCACCTCCCACGAACCACCTACCAACAGAAAACCACAAATCACCACACACCATTACAAAACAATACAAAACAATACAAAACACCACACACCACCACAAAACACCACCGCCCAACCAACAGACAACAAGGTTGCATGTAGCAGTGTGACCTACCGGTTTATGCCTGGCAGCACTGAGGCAGAAGGTGCAGACAGGTTTGGGCATCTCGTGCCCGCGGATCATGGCCTGGTGCTTGATGCAGGGCTGCTCAGAGCACTCGGCGCCCACCATCAACACCGTGCTCAGGTGGGCGATGTAGCTGGCCGCCAGACGTAAGGTCTCGATCTTGGACAGCTTCCGGTCAGCAGGCTCTGGGGAGACAGACATTCAGGCTCACTCTACTGCACCAGTTGTCTGTCTGTCTACATCACCAGTTGTCTGTCTACATCACCAGTTGTCTGTCTGTCTACATCACCAGTTGTCTGTCTACATCATCAGTTGTCTGTCTACATCACCAGTTGTCTGTCTGTCTACATCACCAGTTGTCTGTCTGTCTACATCACCAGTTGTCTGTCTACATCATCAGTTGTCTGTCTACATCACCAGTTGTCTGTCTGTCTACATCACCAGTTGTCTGTCTGTCTACATCACCAGTTGTCTGTCTGTCTACATCACCAGTTGTCTGTCTGTCTACATCACCAGTTGTCTGTCTGTCTACATCACCATTTGTCTGTCTGTCTACATCACCAGTTGTCTGTCTGTCTACATCACCAGTTGTCTGTCTGTCTACATCAGCAGTTGTCTGTCTGTCTACATCACCAGTTGTCTGTCTGTCTACATCACCAGTTGTCTGTCTACATCACCAGTTGTCTGTCTACATCACCAGTTGTCTGTCTGTCTACATCACCAGTTGTCTGTCTGTCTACATCACCAGTTGTCTGTCTACATCACCAGTTGTCTGTCTGTCTACATCACCAGTTGTCTGTCTACATCACCAGTTGTCTGTCTGTCTACATCACCAGTTGTCTGTCTGTCTACATCACCAGTTGTCTGTCTACATCACCAGTTGTCTGTCTGTCTACATCACCAGTTGTCTGTCTGTCTACATCACCAGTTGTCTGTCTACATCACCATTTGTCTGTCTACATCACCACTTGTCTGTCTACATCACCAGTTGTCTGTCTGTCTACATCACCAGTTGTCTGTCTGTCTACATCACCAGTTGTCTGTCTGTCTACATCACCAGTTGTCTGTCTACATCACCAGTTGTCTGTCTATCTACATCACCAGTTGTTTGTCTACATCACCAGTTGTCTGTCTACATCACCAGTTGTCTGTCTACATCACCAGTTGTCTGTCTGTCTACATCACCAGTTGTCTGTCTGTCTACATCACCAGTTGTCTGTCTGTCTACATCACCAGTTGTCTGTCTACATCACCAGTTGTCTGTCTGTCTACATCACCAGTTGTCTGTCTGTCTACATCACCAGTTGTCTGTCTGTCTACATCACCAGTTGTCTGTCTGTCTACATCACCAGTTGTCTATCTGTCTACATCAGCAGTTGTCTGTCTGTCTACATTACCAGTTGTCTGTCTGTCTACATCACCAGTTGTCTGTCTGTCTACATCACCAGTTGTCTGTCTGTCTACATAACCAGTTGTCTGTCTGTCTACATCACCAGTTGTCTGTCTACTCTAACAGCTATTTATATTGTATACGGTGGCCATCTTGTATCGGTAATAATTGACTCGCGTTTACTTTCAATAAAAAATGAACACACCAGAACACAGAACACACAAGAAGACAGAACACACCAGAACACAGAACACACTAGAACATAGAACACACTAGAACACAGAACACACCAGAACACAGAACACACTAGAACACAGAACACACCAGAACACAACACAGAACACACCAGAACAAAGAACAAACTAGAACACACCAGAACACAGAACACACCAGAACACAGAACACACCAGAACAAAGAACACACGAGAACATAGAAATACCAGAACACATCAGAGCAAAGAACTCACTAGAACACAGAACACACAAGAACACACCAGAACACTGAAATACCAGAACACAGAACACACTAGAACATAGAACACACTAGAACACAGAACACACTAGAACACAGAACAGACTAGAACACAGAACACACCAGAACAAAGAACAAACTAGAACACACCAGAACATAGAACACACCAGAACACAGAACACACCAGAACAAAGAACACACGAGAACATAGAAATACCATAACACACCAGAACAAAGAACACACTAGAGCACACCAGAACACAGAACACACCAGAACACAGAAGATTCCAGAACACAGTACACACCTGTAATTAGCACACCTGAAGACAACTCACCTGTAGGGATTAAAGTTCTTAGCGTGACGAAGGCCGTGTTGACGCTATGTGTACGGTCACGCTCTCGTGCATTGGCCGAGCACCGCGGCTTGCCACACTGACCTCCAGCTGACCGCTCATCCCACAAGCCATCCATGCCGGCACTTCCGCTCTCCATTAGGCTCTCCCCTCTGTCTGCCGGCAACAGCTCCGGTCGTCTGTCCGGCTTATAGTCCCTCAAGCCGGAACTGTATCCACTTTCTAGAGATCGGCCTTTCGTTAGTCCAATTTCTGTAAATCGGCCTTCTATTTGTCTACTCTCCACAGATCGGCCTTCTATTGGTCTACTCTCCACAGATCGGCCTTCTATTGGTCTACTCTCCACAGATCGGCCTTCTATTGGTCTACTCTCCACGGATCGGCCTTCTATTGGTCCACCTTCTGTTGATTGGACTGCCGTTTGATTACCTCCTATATAGGGGCTTTCTGTTGGTCTACTTTGTGTAGATCGGCCTTCTTTTGGTCTAACTTCTGTAAATCTGCCTTCTATTGGTCTAACTTCTGTAAATCGGCCTTCTATTGGTCTAACTTCTGTAAATCGGCCTTCTATTGGTCTAACTTCTGTAAATCGGCCTTCTATTGGTCTAACTTCTGTAAATCGGCCTTCTTTTGGTCTAACTTCTGTAAATCGGCCTTCTATTGGTCTACTTTCTTTAGATGGGCCTTCTACCGTAACGGCTGGAAATTTGATTTTCTTTTTTCTCAAGTCTTTAGCGCTTGAGTTGTTCATTTAGGTATACACCAGCAACCACACACCAACACCACCACCTACACACAGAACCACAGCTCCACCTTAGCGGCCATTGGCTGAATTACTTGGCCCGATGACGTAAGAACACAGTCGCTTGTTTGATTGGCTGAATCTTGCTAGTGTGGCATTGGTCAGCGGATGGACACAGGTACGTGGAGAGGCAAGTGGTCACGTGAGTGGGCTGACCATCAACTTCTCATCACGCCTGACCAGCGCGGTCCAGCTGGGCTCCACTTATCTAGGGCTCCACTTATCTAGGGCTCCACCTGTCTACTGACCAGCCCGCACAAAGCGCTGTATGACTGCCAGATGGACGCTAGAGATCATGTGACGTCATCAGCAGACGATGTCCTGCCAGGGGCACTACTGGAGCCGTGACGTAACAAGCTGTAACAGGAAATGACGTATCGCTGACTGAAGTAGCGGGAGCTGGTAGAATCTAGAACAAATTTGTCAGCTATTAGCTTGAGTATTGTAAAATATAATGTCAGCTATTAGCAAGAGTAATGTAAAATATAATGTCAGCTATTAGCAAGAGTAATGTAAAATATAATGTCAGCTATTAGCAAGAGTAATGTAAAATATAATGTCAGCTATTAGCAAGAGTAATGTAAAATATAATGTCAGCTATCAGCAAAAGTAATGTAAAATATAATGTCAGCTATTAGCTTGAGTAATGTAAAATATAATGTCAGCTATTAGCTTGAGTAATGTAAAATATAACATGTCAGCTATTAGCTAATCATATCTAATCAAACACATCTTTAAAATAGATGTTAACGACCCATTTGGCTTATCCAATTATACATTTAAAATAATAGTTAATGAAATTTAACTTATCAAATTAAACATTTAAAATACTTGTTAATGACCCATTTGATTTATCTAATCAAACCCACCCAACTCCTACCACTACCGCCTACTTAACACCCCCCCTGCCCCGTATTTCGTTCGTGGGGGGGGGGGGGGTAGACGTTATTCAGTGGGGGGGGGGGGGGGGGGTTCTGTCCTACACCCAAAATAGAAGCCTGAAAGAAACTCTGCATGCAGACCACTTTTAAGATTAGACAAATTAAGCGGTAATGTTAGTGCCTGTATTATCGCGTGCCGGTGACGTCATCATTATTGTGTATTTTTTTCGGCATTGGATTTTTAGTTCTATGTTTACTCTAGAATCAATGACGTTACAGTGATAAAATAAAAGACATGTTCGAATGTAGAAACCAGAGTTTCTTCCAGGCATCTCTTCGGGGGGGCTAAGCCCCCCCCCGAAAATTTTTTACCGCCCCCCCGAACGGAATAAAATTTATATAATTTATACAGAAAATATATACTTTTAACAGTGTCCGCCCCCCCGAAGAAAGTTTACCGCCCCCCGAAAATTTCAAGTGCCCCCCCGGAGAAAAAAAGTCTGGAAGAAACACTGGTAGAAACACACGTTTAATTATGCAACCCGAAAAGTAATGCTTATTTTTTAAATATAGCAGAAAATATTTGTCTTCAAAGCAAATATCACGTCCAATTTGACATTAGACACAATAAGAATTGTCGATTAATCTAAATAATAGTTTACTAATTTATGATGTATTATTATGTTGCAGCTAGTGTCTAACTTTGTTATTTTTATTTGGTTCCAACCGTTGTTGACAATGTTCAATATTGACAGATCATCCAAGTCGATAATATACAGATATCGATTAGCGGACGATCAACAGATTATTTCTGTCGGCCAAAACTATAATAAAAATAAATAAGTTAAAACATGTTTTTTAACTGTCACGTGGTCTGTATTCTGACACGGCAGATGTGCGAGACAGACACTATCGTTACCTGTTTAAGGGGGGGGGGGGGGGGCGGTAGTGAAAAAACATTTTGTTACAAATTATAAGATACATGCTTCTTTTTTTTTTTTTGCAATGTATTAACTTTAAAATACGTTAAACATTATAATATTGTATTTATTTAGGACCAATTTTTACTTTTTAGCGAAATTTGAGGTCAAATTGAATAATTTTGAGGTACACAGTAGAATCAAAATAACTAAACAAATAATTAAAAACAACGCAAAATAATTTTGCACATTCCAAGTAGACATGACAAAGGACGGTTTTTTAGAAGGAAATTTTGATATCTTACAAAATGAATTTTTTGTGCAATTTTTAAAAAGAAAAAAAAATCATATGATTTTCTTTGAAAACAATTCTAAAACGTCACAACTTTTTAAACAATTGAAGCACGGCCAAACCCTTCTACTAATTTGTAGATATATATATTCGCAACTTACAGTGGTTATTTGAAGTCTTTCTGATAGGCACCTTTTGAGATAAATTAAGTCCCCGAGTTCTTTACTGTAAAATTGATATAGCTGAGACAACTCAAAATGAAACTTTATCTCTAAATTTTTTATCATATAAATGTATGTATTAGCATACTGATCAATAGCCTTGATACATAACTACTTTCCCGATAATATTTATGTGGAAAACAACACCTTACAACGTTTTCAAAAAAATGATTCCAACCTTCACTAGATAATCACAAATAATGATTTTAGATTTTAAAAAATTAAATTTTTTAAGAAAGTTGACTACCAGTCCCCCCCCCCCCCCCCCCTCTTAGAAGACGGAAAATTTTCTTCTGTTTTAGCAACGTCCTAAATTTGAACAAATGTTAATCAATAAACTATTAATTAGGAATAACTCTAACCGGCTAACCACCTAACCGTCTAACCACATAACCATCTAACCGTCTAACCATCTAACCATCTAACCATCTAACCATCTAACCATCTAACCATCTAACCTTCTAACCATCTAACCATCTAACCACCGAACCATCTAACCACCTAACCATCTAACTGTTTAACCATCTGTCTAACCATCTAACCATCTAACCATCTAAACATCTAACCGGTCTAAACATCTAACCATCTAATCATATAACCACCTAACCATCTAACCACCTAACCATCTAACTGTTTAACCATCTGTCTAACCACCTAACCATCTAATCACCTAACCATCTAAACATCTAACCGGTCTAACCGGTCTAACCGGTCTAACCGTCTAACCACCTAACCATCTAATCATCTAACCAACTAACCGTCTAACCATCTAACCATCTAAACATCTAACCATCTAACCATCTAACCATATAACCATCTAACCATCTAACCACATAACCGTCTAACCATCTAACCATCTAAACATCTAACCGGTCTAACCATCTAACCATCTAATCATCTAACCACCTAACCATCTAACCATCTAACCACCGAACCATCTAACCACCTAACCATCTAACCGTCTAACCATCTAACCATGTGTGTTGTTTGACTTGACAATCAGTGGTGGTCAAGAGTTTGTGTGTGAAGTGGGCGTAGAATAGGGTGGGGCTGAACATGGTGGGGGCGTGGTTTGTGTGACGTAGTACAGCCAATGCCGGCAAAGTTCGCCTGTATGGACATGGATACGCTATTAATAGAAAGCATTATACCGGCAACGTTGGGTTCTGTGTATATACATGTATATCAAAAACTAAAAGGCGACATAAGTCTGTGTGTTCTTGTAAACAAGTGCAACATCAATGACCCACTAGTACATCTGACCCGTACATCTGACCCGTACACCTGACCCGTACAACTGACCCGTACATCTGACCCGTACATCTGACCCGTAAATTCCTTGAACAACACGTACACATATTAGCACCCTCATTAGCACCCTCATTAGCACCCTCACTAGTTGATGGTGCTATTGATGGTACTAATATGTGTACATACATGATGGTACTTATATCTGTACGTGCTGGTGGTGCTATTGATGGTACCTATATGTGTATTTGCAAGAGCCACAAATAAAATATGTTTTTTTTTTAGTTTTTACTTCCCCTTCAGAACATTGTAAGTTTTTTAAAAAATTAAGCAAAGATTGCTAAAAATTTTTCCAAAATCGTTGCCATTGTAGAAACCCATTCGGTGGATTGATTTTGTCTTGGTTATGCCAAGAGTTTTATTATATTTAGATAGAATCAAGCTCCTCTGTCTAGTAAACAAGCTGAAGTTTTGTATCTGGGACCTATGTATCCACAGGGAAGTGGAGGCTGACAGGTAGTCGTCTGATACTTGACCACGGTATGGTACATAAAGACACGACAGAGGCCTAGCGACACATGCCGGCGCCCGGGGCGGACTTTCAATTGTGCACTCCCTTCCCTCCATTTATATTATATTTATTCATGTTTGTGAAAAAGTCCCGTCCCCCCCCCCTCCCCCAAGTTGAAATGGCTTGTGGCGCTACTTACCAGTTACGCTACCATAACTGTTTCTATTTCGGTGCCACAAAATTGATAGAAAAAAAACGTTTTCAAAGTGTGTAAAATCCTTAATCTTCGTAAGTCTGACTGTATAAAATGCAATACCTCAGCTTAAAATAAGCTTTTTAATTATTTTGACTACCCATTTTGGCACCCGCCCCACCCCCCCTCCCCCCCCCCCACACCCTTCACCCCCCCCCCCCCCAGCTACACCACTGATACTCGAGAGTTCTGGGTTTGCTTGTTATTATAATCATGTTATTATAATCATGTTATTATAATCATGTTATTATAATCATGTTATTATAATCATGTTATTATAATCATGTTATTATAATCATGTTATTATAATCGTGTTATTATAATCATGTTATTATAATCGTGTTATTATAATCATGTTATTATAATCATGTTATTATAAGCATGTTATTATAATCAT